TGCTCTACAAAAAGGCCCTGGAGGGCCGGTGCCGGAACACAAAAACAAAAGAGCAAGGAGAAAAGCTAACAGGAGAAAAGCTCCTTGTTATATACATTAGCAAAGAGAGAAAACATATTTACACTATTGTTTCTGGGGGGGAACACATGAAGCAAAAAGAGAGGCTTACAAAAAGGGCTCAGAGACTACTCCTCGCCACTATCATCTTCACCCCCATCAGGGGCAATCAAGAGCGTCAGTCTTCCCTCCGCCACACGAGCCTCCTCCAGGTCGGCAGACAGATCGAAGCCTTTGGCCTCGAGTTACTCCAGGATCTCCCTCTTCGCCTCTGCTTTGGAATGTTCGACAGCTCGGATCAGTTTCTGCTCAGCGGCCAAGGATATGTCACGAACCATTGTATGCGATGTGGCTGCATCCTCCTTGTAAGCGGCAGCATCTCGTTCAACCTCAGACTTAGCCGCTGCCAAAGTAACGATCTCCCTGCAAGCGTTCATGATAAGATCACGGGACGTCATCAACTCCCCGGTTGTGGTCTCATTTTGCACTTTCAGCCCGGAGACCTCCAATTTCAATTGACTAATCTGCGAGTTACTTTGGTCGACCTACGAAGAAGGGCAAGTCGACGAATACATGAATCCAGAACATGTGCAGATATGAGATAAAAGGGGGCGGGCATGAGTGAGGCAGGATACCTGAGCAACAAGAGCGGCCTTCTCCTAAAGCACTGCCTCCAAGAAAGTCTAAAGTTCTCCCAACTCTTTGTCTCTCTGGACATGATGAGCCTCCAAGTCCTACAGCTTCGAAGCAACATTATTACGTTCTTTCTCGTGCCAAAGAAGTTCCCCTCGGAGCCGAAGAATGTCATGATCATACATCTCCTTACACTGTGGCACAATGAGAAAGTTAAGAAGGACCGCGAATAATGCCCGAGCACGAAAAGGAATGCGCAAGGGAAAACTATCACCTGTTGCATGGACTTCTCCGCCGCCTTAACGGTGCCGGAAATATCGAGATCGGCCATGTCGATTACACCATCAAAAATGTTGACGATGAAATCTCCCCCTTTTGAAGGAGTCCAGGTTCTGACGCCGACCATCTTTTCAGCATCCCTTAGCTCTCCCGATGAGACCGGAAGCTCTAAATAAAGTTATTCAGTTTGCTGATTTCTCCAAATAGCGACCCACACTTCTGGAAGGCCTCGGGGTTCGGTCCCTCAGGATCAACGCCAACGACCCTCCTAGCAGAAGCTGCATCAGCATCCTCTTTAAGGATCCTCTGCTCACCAGCCCGGCCGGAGCCAGCAGTCCCGGATTCAGCAGCCTACGGTCGGGGCGCCTCCAAATCTCTCACGTTGGACCTTGTTCTCCTCCTCAATGGACTTCCATCATCTTCCTCCCCCTCGATGTCAAGATTCGATCCGAAGGTTATGGCGGCAGTCCTATCAGGTCGGGTAACGGCTGCCCTACTCTTCCTTTACTTGTTCGTATAAGGCCCCAAGGCCTATGCTTCACCAACGGGGGGCAGCCTCATCTGCATATTCTCACCAAGGCATGCACCAACACAATAAACATGGTATGTTTTTGCTAATGGCTCAGAAGGAAACACAAAGTGCGAAGCACAGGCGGTAAAGGAACCTCACCGTGATTTTTGGCCACCCAACTCTCCTTAGCCATGACGGTCCAAGATAGAATACGATACGGGAACTTTTCATCCAAACACAGGATCCATCCCGAAAAATCTGGGACTACCTCTGGATGCCAAGCAGCGGTTGGAGAGAGCACAAAGAGATTATCATGACAAATGAAAGAGTAATTGAGAAGTGGCTAAAGGGAAGTTCACTTACGTCGATTGTTCCACTGCTTTGGAAAGGGCATCTTCCGTGCCGAGATGATGTCCGAGGTCTTCACTTGGATAAACCTGCTCATCCATCCTCGGTCCTTCCCCTCATCAACGCTCGTGAAGAAAGACTTTTTGGACCGATGTCGAAGCTTGATTAAGCCTCGATACAATCGAGGGCAGTACAGTCTGATCAAATGGCTAAGGGTGAAAACTTTGCCTCTAACCCCTTCGGTAAAATATCTGAGCATTAACACTATCCTCCAAATTGACGGATAGATCTGACCGAGGGTCACCTGATATCGGGCACAGAAGTCAAGAATAACCAGGTCGACTTCCAAGGGGAGATTCGATGGACTTATCAGGGCCCAGGGTTAATGGGTAAGTGTATGTGTGAAATAAGCCCGCCTTGAAGTCGGTAATGTTATCATTGGGGCCGAGGATCTCTATCTCCACATCCTCGCTCCATCGGCAGTCCTTCCTCACTTTGCTATCATCGACCACGACGCTAATATATCGAGACACGTGCTCGCACCGACCAGGCGTAGATGAGGGAGTTTCGATGTCAAAATCCTGTGATGTATCGAGATCAGTAGGAGTCCATTGCTCTAAAGTGGGAACCGATTTGTTTTCCCCCTCAGGTAATCGGGACGACGACGCAGCATCATTCCGTCGGGGAACTGTCCTGGAAGTCCTAGCCATGAAAAATGATAAAAACCATTCTGTGAAAAGAGGAAAGGATATCAAGTAGTAAAATTTTGGTTCGAAGGTTTATGAGAAAGGTGAAAATATGAAGTATCTGGCAACCGGTGCATTTATAGGAAGCACTGGGGAAGCAGAAGCGACGAGCCTACGACAGCTCGTGGGTTTCTCGATTACCGCATCTGACGGCGGCCCTGCATTGTTCTCTGGGGCATGGAATTTAATACTCTTAGACAGTTGACATCATGGAAACACTGACCTCGAGACGACGATTCAATATCGTTTCCTATTACTTCGTTGTAGGAAACGCGGAGACTATCTGTATACGGTGAAATCAGGGGAATATATTTCCCGCCATTAAGGTATATTCGGAATATCATGTCAGCACCTCGAGGCTATAGGATTATGATCGAGATCTCTATCTAGAGGATCATCTGTAGCCCTGCAGAGGCTCCGAGGTTAAGGGATCTGTCCGCGACCCAGTAAAGGTTACGAAGAAGGGGGACTCCCGAGGCAAGTGGCTAGAGTCAATAGGCACTAGTACCATGTCTAGCCATCTTATCCCCACATCTTTACATTTAATACACCCTGTACTATATGGTATTCCCCCTCCTATATAAGGGGAATCCATGCCACTTTGTAAGGGACTGATGTTGCTCCATTTTCTCCACAAGTGCAATAATATCTCTCTCTCTCTCTCTCTCTTTTCTTTCTAGCTTGCTCGTTCTCACTGGCCCGAGGCTGCTTTAATATCTATCGTCCTCTTATTTTTTCTTCCCTATATTGTTCAATATTGGTCGTAAATAGCCTTGCTTAATCATATCTTCAATTGTTATCCCATGTCCGGCTGACCCCAATAGTTTGAGCTCGACCCGAACCTGGACCCCGAGGTCCCCATCGATCAGCCCTTCATCCGGGCAACAGGCCCCTCGGTTTGACTACTACCTCATTTTAGCCTGCATTTCATCGTTAAACTTAAAATTATTAGCATCAACTGCCCTAACAACCAGCTCGGGAATAGATCACGTATTTTTAGAATCTCATTTACAAATTCAATTATTGTTACCATTTTCACTGTAAACAGTGTTATTGAGGTCCGTTTGGGATTTTGAGCTTAGTAATAGTTCCGTATGGTGATTTAAGACTTCCACGCAAAATTTGGCGCCATTCCGAGTTGATTTGATAGGAATCGGACGCGCGGATGTGTTTTTAGAAGTTTTGAGTTTTCATGATTTGATTCATGCATTTTGGCGTTCGAACTTTTAGATGTTATTCCGGTGTTTCTATCATACAAGCAAGTTCGTATAATTTTTTTAGACTTGTGCGGATGTCTGGTGTGAAGCCCCGAGGGCTCGGGTAAGTTTCGGACGCGTTCGGATGGATGGGAAAGACTTTAGTTTTCTAGGTTTTTTTGCTGGTGCCTCAGGTATTGCAAATGAGAAATTTTGTTCATATTTGCGAACTTCCCATTTGTGAGATTGACTTAGAAATTGCGAAGAATACTGACAATGGAGTCCCAGCTTCGCATTTGCGATGTTGTGGTCGCAAATGCAGCCTTGACAATGGAGTCCCAGCTTCGCATTTGCGAACAAGGTGTCGCAAATGCGACATCTGCGACCTGTGCAATAGCTTTTTATAATAGGACTTAGCTTTATTTCCCACTTGGTCTTAGATGATTTTGAGAGCATTTTTGGGAGGGGTTCGATCAACATCAAGAGGTAAGTGATCCCTATCAAATTTTTAGCTAAATACACGAATCATAAGTAGATTTAACATGAAAAATAGTGAGATTCATGGTATTTTGTGGAAAACCAAGGGTTATGATAAAATAAGTTTTAACCATGAAAATAGTTATGGAATTGGGTAAAAATTATATATTTGAGTTCGTGAGGTCATGGGTAACAACTTTCTTCGAAAATTTTCGGAATCCGGACACGTGAGCCTGGGGGTAACTTTTACACTCTGTTTGGATGGTTGTTTCTCATTGTTTTATAATGTATTGTACTGTACTGTATCGTTTTGATGGATACAATGTTTGGATAGATTGTATCGTTTGTTGTTATTAAATAACATCTTTATTGTTCGATTTGACTGTATTATACTGTATTGTACTGCTAAGTTTACTAAAATACACTCAATTATTTTAAATACGATGCTTATTAAGAATTACTCATAAAAATAATTTATTTATTTGACCTCCCATCTTCCTCACAGGGAATCATCATTCTACTATAATAGTGAAAGCCCCAAATTGTTTTCATACAAACAAACAAAAAAATTCACAACTCCATCAAAACAGAGTAGACAACGGACCTTGAGTTCCTGACCTTTAATGTGGCAAATAATCCAAACTTAAAGTGCATAATATAATTAAAAAAATTAGCAACATGACATATAAAATTCATATCGATCTAGTCAAAGTCTATAAAATCCTCAATAGCTAAAGCATAAATAACATTAGTCTAACTCAATTGCCAGGTGACGACATGAAGGCCAGTAAAAGAAATTTGCGAATCTTCCAATGGACACCCAATTAGTGTGCGACACAAGTCTTCATGTTTGCAAAGAAATATATAAGCTTTCATGTCCATACTAGGATCTAAATCCAACACTTGTACCATTTGCCATATCTCACTCTCAGAAATAGGTGGCATAGTTGAAAGGTGATTAATTGTATTAGCCAAATTATTCATCTCACCTCTCAACATATCAGTCATGCCTTCAAGATGATCTTGTTTAGATTTTTTATTTCTGCTAGAAGTTGGTACCTCTGGATATGCATTCGATTTACGTGCTTCCTGAGTTGATTGATATTGCTCATATTGTCCATGTTCCTAGATATTTTCCAAGGAGGCAGCATTCATGGAAATTAGTTCATCTACCTCACCAATAGTCAATGAACTATCACTTGATTTTCTCAAATTATTATGAGCACCCCTTCTTACCATATCTGCTCTGGTCTCAGCTTGCTTTCCAGTAGCTCTATCCCTTCCATATAGCTCAATTAGCTTATCATAATTTCTAATCGGCTTGTTTCTCCATTCAGCAACTTCAAGCTTAGCCTACACAAAAAAGTACAATATAATAATGAAGAAAATGAGATAAATATTATAAGATGCAGATAAAGAACAAAACTGCTAAAAATAAATGTACCTGTATTAATTGATCCCATACTTCAGATTCAGCATTCCACATATTTGTGTTGGAATCCCATGCAAACCCGCTCATCCCATTTTGAAAGGTGTCATAACACTTGCTAAATATTTTTTTAATATTTCTCATTCGGTTATGAACGCTCTCCTTGGTAAAAACTTTATCTGAAAATTTTGATTGCAGCTCTTTCACTATATTGTCAATCGCGTGTGCAGTAAAAGTTCCACCAACCCTATTTTCAAGTGTGTGCTCATGATAGAATGCATCAATTAAGGCATCATCCATAGCATTTTACCAAATACAAACAAAAGTGTTATCTGAAAGATTTATATCGCTTGAGGATGCCTTTGGTCTTTTTGGCATATTGATAACTACATAATTAAAAGATATTCATAAGACTTAATGAAAACTTTATCAGACATAATATTTGTAATAGTTATAAAATAAAATAAATGCGTAGTACATAATATTTTTTATTAAAATAATAGCTATGAAATTACTTTCAAACAACATCAAATAAATAAACACGAAAAAATTCATCTCTAACTAGTCCACATGTCAGCTGTTAAGCCATCTCTAATCAACTCTCCCCCCCCCTTCTAAACTCCTCATTACTTTCCCTAGGATTTGGTGGTTATTCATGCACATCATTATCATTCAGAAGCTTCGCATCAACTTGCGCAAGTAACTCATCATTTGAATCTGCACCTCTTAAGTAGTTGTGCAAAATACAACATGCAAAAATAATAAGCTTTTGGGTTTCAACACCATATGATGGTTCAATTGAACTAGAAATTATAGGAAATCTCTTCTTAAGAACTCTAAAAGCTCGTTCAATAGCATTACGCAAAGATGTGTGTCGCANAAGATAAAAAGTAAAAGCTTTAATTATTTATTCACCATATCTAACTTTTCCTAGATAAATATATGAAATATTTACCTACTGGAAGTTTTAGCGGGTCTTGTCTATTTAACGCTTCTTTCATGATTCTTGAATCAGATGTCGTCCCTTCCCAACCAGCTAACACATATGTGAATTTTAAATCAAATGTACATGCAGCCAATACATTTTGTGTTGGATACTCCTTTCTTCCATGGTATCTGGGTGCTTCACTCTGTGAAACTTTAATACGTATATGTGTTCCATCAATTGCACTAATACAATCGTGACATTATTATAATAAATTATATGCAATCAATCTTGAATTTAGCTAAAAGTTCAATAAAATTGTAATTGTGTTCACCTTAAAATATGGGTAGAATCTTGAGTTGCCGGCAATTTCAGAAGGAACTTGAGAGCCATCATGTTGTTTAATAAATTTTTCATATAACCCGAAGATCGCTCGCATGACGATATGAAAATGACGACTGACCGACTCCCCAGATCGTCGAAAGATAAAAGCTAACTCGTGATTCGTTGTAATATGTGCTAACAAGTAAAGTGTTTTTGCAACTTATTCTTCAACTGTAGCTTGAAGTGTTGGTCTAAGATCGCCATCTCTAACTAACATCTCACTTATATCGGTAAAAGCTAAAGGGGTCATTCTTATAATATTACGACAAAGTTCAGTTGAGAAAAAATGACTCAATAATGCATGTCTAACTTGTTCACTTTACAGTCGTATATCATGTGTGATCGTACGTCGGTTATTTTTTAGTTTACGCACTTAAGTCCAAAACCAAATAGCTACTAAGCAAGCAGCATATGTAGCTAAAGAGCTCCCTTTTTCCAATATATGTCTATTATTTTGACTATTTCGATCCGCCATCTATAATAAAATTTAGTGAGATACATCAACCAATTAACTATGTAAAATAAATATGAACCGGAAATAGAACTCTTCTTCATAGAACACATTGTTAAGTATGAAGGAGAATTCAGATACATACTAATAGGATTGTACTAGTCAAATGTTAAAACATTACACTAAATTAATTCAGTAAAAACAGAAAAATATAAGCCCTAAAAAAGCAAATTTAAGTAAAACAAAGAACATTATAGATAATGAGTACTGAGCAAGAGAGGAGAATGTGAATTAACGTGTCTGTGTGTGTAGAAAAAGAGAGTGAGAAAAGGAGACTTTAGAGGAAATTTTGGGCCTCTTCTTTTTGGAAGATTTTTCCTTGGACGAAGACTTCCGGCTTCCATTATTTTGGGCCTCTTCTTTTTGGAAGATTTTTCCTTGGACGAAGACTTCCGGCTTCCATTATTTTGGGCCTCTTCTTTTTGGAAGATTTTTCCTTGGACGAAGACTTCCGGCTTCCATTATTTTGGGCCTCTTCTTTTTGGAAGATTTTTCCTTGGACGAAGACTTCCGGCTTCCATTTGCTTCTGATTTACTTCTTCTTCGTTATCGTTTTACAGAGATAACCAAAATTGGAATAGGCAAAAAAAAACAAGAGATTACGAAGAAAAGGTTTAACGAGAACAATACTACTGGTTTTCATCTAGAAAGGCTACATATTGTGTACTTCATAGTTCATAGATTCGTACATGAATGATTGTTACAACAGAAGCCACGCATAATTCATGTTTTAAATTTCTAGTCGGTTTTGGCTGTATCAAACTAATAACTTGATGTTACACTTTAAACCATGATATTAACTTGATAAATTATATTACCAGAACATATAGTTTGCAAATATCATAGATGAACTAACCAGGGAAAATACACAAGAAAAGAGAGGGAAAACTAACCAGGGAAAAATCTGTTTGGAAAGAAATAAAGTACGTAGTTGGGATACTCCGTTTAGGTGAACGTAGTTTTACGACAGAAGATGGAGAGAAATGTAGTTGGGTGAATATAATATAAATAATAGGGTAAAGAATTTAAATATAGAATAATAACTGTAGGCATAATTGGAAAGAAAAATACGGAACAATCCCACCACGCCGATTTGGTTGTTTCATAAAATGGGGCTTTTCATTGTTCCGAAATAATGGATTTAACAATACTATACAATCAATTTTATATTAACAATCAAAACAAACATTGTATCCGGGGTAACAATACAATACAATATAATGGGAAACAACCATCCAAACAATACGTTAGGAATCTTCCAATTTGGATAGGGTAATTACTCTAATAGCTAAGTTATTAACTCTTGAGCGTACATTGATTATTTTATATAATATTTGGCTAGTTGTGGATTTTTGGCACCAAGTGGGGTTTTTAGAGTAAATTTGTGGACGGAAAGTGAGCTTTGAGACGAGGTAAGTCTGTTGTCTAACCTTGTAAGAGGGAATTTACCCCATAGGTGATTTAATTTACTATTTGCTTCTAATTGTAGGGGCTATGTATGCATGGGGTAATGAGAGTCCGTACATAGCTACTAATTATGCTTATGTCCGGGTAGTTTAGGACCCAAATCATGAAATACTTGAAATGTTTGTATCCTGCTTGTTAATTAAAGTGCCTAGATTATGTTGGAACTTGATAAAAGAAATTGTAAATGACCGAATTTCATTTACTTGAATTTTTTTTTGGGTTACTTGACCGTTAAAATAAATTGTGCTTCATTGTGTATTCGCCTTGTAATAGCTTTAAAAAGATCGGATGTTCATAAAGTATCCTCTTCTCGTGGAGAGGGTCGAACACCTCGGCAGTAGAATAGATGCATCTATGATTCGTGTCGCATGACCCTCGACAATGTACACGTTATTCTGGATCGGGTCGTACGAATCATGGATGCATCTAGTGGTGAGCTGCTTCGTGAGCCGTTCTGCAGCCCCTATAGTCTCTCTTTTGTATTTACATTCTCTCTACTTTATATTCAGACAGTAGTTAGAGTTTTGTATATTCTACTAGTTGCTCATACACTTGTGACATCAGGTCTTGACATACCCACTAGTAGACTTTATGGTTTTGGAGTAATCATTCACTGCATTTGTTTCCTTATTAGTCTATGTTTTTCTTAATAAATTTTGTACTTCGCATTTTCTTAACAAATAGAATTTCAACTATTTAGAAATTTATTAAAAAGGGAAATCTCATGTTTAATTCATTGTTGGCTTGCCTAGCGGTAATGTTGGGCGCCATCATGGCCCATAGGAGAAATTGAGTCGTGACAACATACGGTCTTTACTTATAAAAGAGGATCCTTTTATATAAACAATACTGATGAAGATTGTGTCTTATCTTCATATTTGTATAAAAATATAAAATATGAAGTGATTTGAAGAAGTTTTATTTGAACTTTCAAAACAAATATTCATGTACATAATTTTCATAACTACATTCTTTGTAGCAGGTTTACCTGTATGGGTATATTTATCATGTGACTATATTTGTAGCCTTAACCTAATAGCTCTTGGGAGTTTTATGTTGAATCTTCAATTCTATGTTGATTCTTCAGTTCTTCACTTCCCATTTAATCTTTGAGCTTGAAAATTTGTTGAAATTTTCTTCTAAGTTTTTTTTGAGACATACTTTGATGCTTTGAGCTATGATTCTTCCATATGTATAGTCTCCCCAGTGTTTGAGCTTTAAAGTATGAAAATTTGAACACTCTCCACGGTCCTTTAACTGAAAAGGAAATACACATGGGTCTCGGGGGTACTTTTTTAGATGATGACTACTTAACTCTTCCCATCATAATTATTGTAACCAAGACGGAGAATAATGATGTATTTTGCGTGTCTTTAGGGTCTATAGTCATCATCTGGTTTTGGCAGACTTTTTGTCTATCATCTAAAATGGTTAGTAAAAATTATATGAACAAATAAGTAATGAACTTTGAGATACCCGACCATGAGTACTTGCTCAAAAGTAGTATTTCTTCAAGTGTACCGCATTTTATTTGGAAGGTAACACTTTTCCGTCCATGGTCTCTAATCCATATTCTCCTTTTCCAACAATGCCATGAACTCAATGTGGTCTTTCCTAATCCAAAGGTAATTTTCCTTTACCGCTTATGTTGACTGAAATATCTTTTTAAGGACAAAGTCCCTAATCTTAAAATATTGAAGATTCTCCCTTCTATTGTAATATCACTCAATCCTTTGCTTTTGCACTGTCATCTGTATTAAAGCTGCTTTCCTTCGTTCTTCTACCAAATTCAAATTTGTACGAAGTTATTCCTCATTGGATAATTTGTTTGTATGTTCAAACCTCAAGCTTGGTTCCCCTATTTCTACTGAAATTAGTGCCTCAGTATCATAAAAAAGTGAAAATGGAGTTTTTCTCGTGCTTATTTTTTCCGTTGTTCTGTAGGACCATAACACTCTAGGTATACCTCAGCCACCTACCTTTTGATGCTTCTACATATTTCTTTATATTGTT